ATTCACATTGTTCTACCGGTATGTGTTAGGTAACGGCAGAAAGGGTGTCAAGAGACATAAAAGACTTTATGTAAAATTCACTGTGAAATGTGATTCTCAGGTGCTCGGCAGTTACGTTTCAAAAATTACTAATTAGTAGAGGGCTAATAATAAGAGCAGCTATAGTTAAAGAGAGGATAGTTATCACTTAAACCTAGACCACTTATAAGTCGCCTGGGTATTACTTTTACCAGCCTTCCACCCCTATTCCTCCACGCTCTCCCTCCCATCTGCCCCCAACATTTACCCGCACCTCGTCCAACACTTCTTTCTCTCTCGCTGTCTGTCTCCACAATCCCCACTCCCACAATCACCGTCCTCATGGCTACACAGCACGCGCAAGTTGCTCGCTGGCAGGGCGATTTGCTGCCGCATATGGTCGACCGCCTTGCTCGTGAAACGCCGGACGCTGTATACGGCCTGTGGCCTGTGGCTCCGGCCTCGTATGAGGCTGGCTTTCGGACCATCACTTATGCCCAATTGGCTAATGTTATTAACGGCTTAGCCTGGTGGCTAGTCGAGCGGCTCGGCCCGGGCCAGAACCAGGAAGTGCTAACTTATGTCGGGCCTAATGATGTGCGGCTTACTGCTCTGGTTTTGGCCTCTATCAAGGCCGGCTACGCGGTGAGCTGCCTTCCTATTCACGGCAGCGGTGACTTGGAGCATGTGATTTTACTGACCGGATCCGCCAGCTCTTCCTTACGTCGCCGCGCAACAGCCCGGCGGCCCATCAGTCACTGTTCGCAGCCCTGAAATGCACGACTCTCCTGACGACAGCTCCCACGCCGCCCCCGGCTCTTGCTGTTATAGAAGCTGTCAAGCCACGCCAGCTCACCATCCCAAGTGTGGATGATCTAGTCACGAAGCCTTACCCGCACTATGACTATAAGAAGACGTATGAAGAAGGGCGCTTGGACCCGTTATGGATCATGTATGTCTCGCAAAAAAAGCCTCCCGTCGTGAAAGATGTACCTGTGTGCGGCCCTTAACCTCTTTTTGTAGACACACGTCGGGGTCAACAGGCATTCCTAAGCCTCTAGTGTGGACCCAAGAAGCGGGAGCACGGCATCATAACTGTTCTGCTCGTGACCCCCCGAAAGATGTACCATCGCTCGAGCGCTTTTATCACGGTAAGAGGGTGATGGTCACGACTCCGCCATTCCATGTATGTTGAATCCCAAATACCTAACCCCACGCAACGCCGTCTATTATGGGGGAGTTAACCTTCCTAGGGAGCCGGGTTGGCACAATACCTATTTAACGCCATTCCATTCGGCAATGTTACCATTGCACCGGCAGCAGCCGCCATCGCAAGCGGCCAGGGTCTCGTAGACGCGCTTAAGCAGACACCGGCTGAAATAGCCATTCTGGTGCCGTCGGTTGTGGCCGAGCTGGCCCAGAACCCGCAGTTACTTGAGTACTGCGCTAGCCACCTTGAGATGATCCTTTACATTGGAGGCGACCTGCCCCAGGCCATTGGAGACAAAGTCGCGGAAAAGGTGCGTCTACGGTGTCTATGGGGTGCATCAGAAACTGGCATCCCGCAGCAGTTGCTGCCAACCGAGCTAGGGCCGTCGGACTGGCGCTATATACGCTTCCATCCGTGCTCCGGTGCGGTGTTTGAGAAAGTAGCAGACGGGAACTACGAGCTGGTGATACGGCGTGATGAAGCCATCGCGGACACCCAGCCAGCGTTCGCTGTCCGGGGACAAGATCAGCTCGAGAAAGAATACCGCACCCGCGATCTATTCGAGCCTCATCCAACGGTTCCCGATGCCTGGTGCTGGCGGGCTCGTGCGGACGACATCATAGTCTTTCTCAATGGCGAAAAGACGAACCCGGTTTCCATGGAACAGCACGTCGTGGCCAGGAATGCGGACATCACGGGTGCCCTCGTTATCGGTTCGCAGAAATTCCAAGCAGCTCTGCTAATCGAGCCGGACGCTGCAGCCAACCCGTTTACCACGGCCGAGCAAGCAGCATTGATTGAACACGTCTGGCCTAGTGTTGAGGAGGCCAACCAACTTGCCCCTGCACACGCCCGTGTCGAGAAGTCTCTCATCATGATCACTTCAGCAGATCGTCCCCTCATCCGTGCCGGCAAGGGGACCATCCAACGGACTGCAAGTCTAGCTCAATATGCGACGGAGATCGAGAGGCTGTATGCCAGTGCGGACTTGGGCCTGGACGAGGACCCTGGCCACGCGCCTTTCGATACGACCAACCCGAGGGCCGTATTAATCTTCGTCCGGAACAGCATCCGCTCCGTCACGGGTTGGTCGTACGTGCGCGACTCGGACAACTTCTTCGAGCGCGGCATGGACTCACTCCAGGCGCTGCAACTCACGCGTACCCTGAAGCGTGGCCTCTACCGGCCCAACCTTGCCTTGCCGACTATCTACAACAACCCCTCGGTCCTGCAGCTGATGACGGCCATCAAGTCAGACGAGGACGGGGCGAACGAAAACGAGATGATGGCCCCCCTGCTGGAGACGTACCGCGAGCTGGTCCACCAGATCCCACCCCCCAAGCTCATCTACCCGAACACGGAGCCACAGGTCGACGTCATACTGACCGGCTCGACCGGCGCCCTGGGCACGTTCATGCTGCAGTCGCTGCTGACCCGCCCGGACATCGGCCACGTCTTCTGCCTGAACCGGGCCAAGGACGGCGGGCGCACGGCGCAGGACGGCCGGTTCGCGGCGGCGGGGTTCCCGACGGACCGGTTCAGCGACCGGGTCACGTTCCTGCAGGCGGACCTGGCGCACCCGCTGCTGGGGCTGTACGAGGCGACGTACGAGGAGCTGCGCGCGCGCGTGGGGCTCATCATCCACAACGCCTGGTCGGTCAACTTCAACCTGGGGCTGCCGGCGTTCCGGCCGCAGCTGGCGGGGCTGGTGAACCTGTTCGCGCTGGCGGCGGCGTCGGCGCCGCGCACGACGCGCGTGGTGTTCATCTCATCGGTGGGCGTGGTGGGCGGGCGGCCGGTCGACGCGGGGCCCGCGCCCGAGGCCGTGCTCGAGTCGTTCGACATGCACTACTCCAACGGGTACGCGCGCAGCAAGTTCCTGTCGGAGCACCTCTGCGACGCGGCGGCGCGGCACCTGGGGATCCCGGTGGCGATCGCGCGCGTGGGCCAGGTGGCGGGCCCCGTGTCGCAGCCGGGCCTGTGGAACCGGTCCGAGTGGCTGCCCAGCCTGGTGATCAGCTCGCTGCACCTGGGGTGCCTGCCGGAGCACCTGGGGCCGCAGTTCTCCGAGATCGACTGGGTGCCGTCGGACATGCTGGCGGACGTGGTGGTGGACCTGGCGTCGCAGTCGGGCCAGAAGACGCCGGGGGCGGGCGCGGGCGCCGACGTGTTCAACCTGCGCAACCCGCGCACGACGACGTGGGAGGCGCTGGTGCCGGCGGTCACCGAGACGGCGCAGGCGCGCCTCGGCCGCGCGCTCGAGATCGTGCCCCCTTCCGTCTGGCTCAACCGCCTGCAGGAGAGCATCGCGGCCGCGTCCGAGGGCGACGCCCGCGACCTCACCACCGCCGCCGCCGCGAACCCCGCCATCAAGCTGCTCGAGTTCTACCGCGACGGCCTCTGGGCCAACGGCGGCACCACCCAGCTCATGGCCGTCGAGCGCGCCCTCGCGAGCCCCACCCTGCAGGACATGCCCGCCGTCGGCCTCGACTGGACGCGCAAATGGGTCGAGGAGTGGATCTCGGCGCAGTCGCGGCCGAACGGCCTAGTCGTCGGCAGGGCTTAATGGGTTGTGTGTTTGTGTGTGGGAGGGAGGGGTTGTTTGTTAGTAAGGTAGGTAGGTAAAAAAAGTGCCCTGAGTAAGTAAAGTGAGTTTATAAACGATGTCTTGTTGGTATGTATGTATGTATGTATGTATGTATGCAGATTGCACTGGGGTGATCTAAAGACGGTGATAGTATTGGGGGGGAGTTTCTTCATCTTTTTTTTTACACCTCTAGGTTTTATATTTGTTGTTGTATGGCTTTCCCCGCCCCCCTTCCCCCCCAAAGTGTGAACGAAGAAAAAGGAATATGTATATGTCCCCAAGAATATCTAGGTAATAGGACCCCGGTCAAATCAAGTATGTAACTGTGTGTGATGACTTTATGAAAAAGGGACGCGGGGAGGGGGGAGGGGGGAGGGGAGGGGGGTATGTAATCGATGCTTCCTAGGTTAAACAAATACAAAAAAAGGAAGCTTCTGTACTTTAGTTCAACATGGACTGACTATGTATGTATCTCTCGTAATCCAGCTAGGTTACTCGCTTCTATCTCGTACCTGGGGCTAGTCTGTCTTCTTGTGTCTCGCACAGTTAAGTAGATAGTAGCCCCTATAGGTAGCTGCGATAACATGATGTGATGTCCTCATCCAGCCGGACCCTTCGCCCAGGTAAGTAAAAATTATATATGAAATTAGATATTAAACGTATCAGTATCGTAGTCGGTAGTTGTCGGGTTAAAACGCTTAAAAGGTTAGTTAAGAAAAGGCAAATGTAGAGCTAGAATGCTTGTTAGAATGCTCGTTCATGACGGGGAAAAGAGAATTGTCACCCGATTTCTTTTTTCTCACTCTTCCATGGAAACTTATTTGACAAAATGCTCAAATATGCGGGACTCTGCAGCCAATCCAATACTATGTATGTACTTAGCAGGTAGGTATTCACACACTTATACAGTAAGTAGTAAGTAGATGAGGACGTCAAAAGAAGGTGATTACGACCTGCAGCCACATTGAAACCGGACTCTTAGCCTGTTACACAATATATGGTGCAATCCGATGGCACCTGGGGAAATCGTTTTAAACACTAAACCCAACTAACCAATCAGGAGGACACTTTAAAATCTTACAGTTAACTGGCAACTAGGTAGGTAGGTCAGGAAGAAAAAAAAAGATTTCGTTAAGTGGAATACTACCTACCGTAGAAAGAGGGAAAAAAAAGTAGAAAAAGAAGGGGCTTGGCCGGGGATCGAACCCGGGACCTCTTGCAGCTTGTAAGACCGAATGTCTTAGCCCTAAGCAAGAATCATACCACTAGACCACCAAGCCAATTGGGGATTGGAACCGCTGGGCCAATCTTACCATGTGACTGTTGGAAATTTTGTTTTTATTATGCCATATATGGATGCATACAGCTCTGAGTCAAATGTGACTGGCTAAGGGAGGGGGGGGCTAATTAATCTTATCGTACACTAGCGCACACCACGGAGTGCGGGGCTTCGGTTATGTAAAATGTGGGGTCGACACCCCACAAGCCTGGATTGGACGGGACTACCTACGTCCATAGTGGACTACATACTACCTAGTAGGTAACCCCAACCTTCAACGTACATGAGGTACCTAACCTTAGTGCAGTACCTAGGTACCTATGTAGGTATGTACATTACCGCCCCCCTAAGGGGGGTGGAGACGGTCTCCGAGATTATTTTTAAGTACCGAGACCATTTCAGGCCTATGACGTTAACTTAATTATTACATTTTACACATAATTTTATAACTAAATAAGTTACAGTTATTTAAAATTATATATAATATATAAAGGTTTTAAAATATAAAATATTTTTACATATATAATGGTTATAAATTTTTATAACTATGTAAAAAATATACCGTTTTAAGTACTTATAACCATGTATATTAAAAATGATTTTAACCGACTGTAACGGTTTTTAAGATTGTCTTAAAATTTCAAGATCGTCTCGGGTAAAAAAAAGGTAAAAAAAAAACTAATTAGCTTACCTAGCCTTATATATTATTTCTTAGCAAAATATTAAAAAACAATATATAAAGCTAAGTAAGCTAATTGGTTTTTTTTAATTAAATTAAATTAAAAACTTACGCGGTTAGCTATAAGATTACAAGGCATTATACGGTTAAGCTATTACGGTTATAAAAATTACAAAGAATTACAGTACTATTTAAATATATATGTTTTATAATAGCAGTCGCGAAAGTAAAAAGCAGGTAGCAAGGCAGGTAAGGCTAAGGGGGGGGGGGGCATTGGTTAGGTAGGCGATAGCCAGTAGGTAGCTTAAGGGGGGGAGAAGGGGTCCTATAGGTGATGGCTGGTAGGTGATAGCTGCCAGCTTTAAGGGGGGGGGGGGGGGGTATAGGTGACTGTATACAGAAAAAATGGTCATATAGACTGAAATAACCTGGCTTTTCGAGATGGTCATACATGTACAAAATGTCCTTATATAATAAAATATTTTTAAGCCTAACATTATGTGGTCGCGTGAAACGGTTTTATATGGGAAATTATGCCTAAGATCGTCTTAAGATTCCGAGACCGTCTCTTATCTGCAAAATGATTTTTAATAGTAACATAATTGCAGTGACCGTCTCCACCCCCCCTACTGGGGCGGTAATGTATGCAGGTAGGTATTCGCTCAACTTCATTAGTATACAGGCCAAGGCACCATAGTCTGGGATGTTCATGCACTCAGGGGATACGTAAGTCCATACCTTGGTAGGTACGTAGCATACATAGTACTCTAGTGTATGTATGTGCGCGTGCATCAAATATGTGTAGTACCATGTATTTTGGGTTTCATTGCTTACGCCATCAGAACCTTCACTGTTCTATTTAGAATGGTCTTGTCCGGGAAACCCGAAGACATTGACCGGTTATTGATGATGCAATTGGTAGATAGGTAACCTGTTTCCTCTGCACGGCCCACGATATCCACCACAAACCAACTATAATATATTACCTACATACTTATTCTGCGTTGTCCTGCGAAAGGTACATTTGATATTGGAAAGTCGACTTATTAAGGATGTTAGATTCATTAAGGTATTTTTAACTAGGCGAGGTGTGACCTGGCTTGTTGGTCTAATCCGTCCCGATATCAATATTTAATAGACCTTAAAGCTAAGTTAAGCTTGGCAATAAAATACATAAGAGGTTGGCGCTTCGATGGTTAGTTGCATTTTTTATATATACCTACCTATTAATGTAGCTTGAGGTAGTTAAAATGGTTATTTAAAGAATAAGTAGGTATGTCGAGGGATTTTCTCACTGCTTGTTTCCCCCTGCTTAAAGTGACAAGAGATTTAACTACATAGGTACTACTATGAGAGGCACCTAGGTTACATGGAATTAACAATTACTTTTTATATCAGGAAGGAAGGAGCCCGCGAGAGGAAGGGCTTTATCGTACCTGCCGATAGTTTAACATAAGGCATATATTATACTAATCTTGCATCTAGCCCTTTTATAAGTGCTATGGATGTAAGTACCCAGGTCCCTTTTTACTATGTACGTATATAAAAAAGGTACACATGTACCTAGGCCGTTGCTAGGGAAGAATTATGCTAGGCTAGATCGAGAGGTACAAACCGCATGTACGGTTTAAAGCACAAAGAGGGCTGTACTTAAGGTATCCGTAGTTCTCGTCTCCCACCGGGTCAGTGTCATGTTTGGTGATAATACCTTTCATTAACCCCCCACTAAGAAGGCTGGCAGATGCAAAGGGGAAAAGGACGTAAATAGCCAAACAACACCCCCAGCTACTAAACCGTAAGGGGAGTGTAGCTCAACGGGCAAGAGCACTGTCGTTATTTCCTCGCCGTCCTTGTGAGATTTTCTCATCAACCGTTTCGGCGGCTTGTGGAGGCCCGGGGACCGGAGAGGAACGACTTAGGCAGAGGTTTCAGGTTCAAATCCTGGCACTCCCGTTTATCTTTTTTTTTTCCCTCATTTTCTATCCTCCTCCCTCCTCTCTTTCTCAACCCTTTTAATTATAAGACACTTATAAATCTAGCTGGTTATTTAAGCATATAAATTTAAAGTGTTTAAATGCACATTAGTAAGTATGTATTACTAGTAAAGAGCCCGCGAGTATTGTTATTTAAGAGAACAAGACGGCGCCTACCACCAATGGACATCGTATTTATCCCGTATTTCCCATCTCGGACGTGCTTTCGAAATATGTGAGGCAGGCGGCCCAGGATATTCGTGAAATCGAGACATCGCTAACGCTAGGACAATATGCTAATTCTAAAGAGAACCCTGGTGGAGTGGCTGGGCAGGTATACCTATGGAGCAAGAGATTGACTTACTGTTCTAACATAGGGTGTTGTTAAGGGACTTATAATTATACCATCAGAACCCCTTTTTAAAACTAGGTTGGTGCTATAGCATCCATCGGCTTTAAGAAAATCTTGGGCTAACTATATGATAGCTAGGAAAGTAGACAGGAACTCCACGTGAAAGTATTGATGATCCCAGCTTGCCTAGAATACTCGACGTGGTCGACAATAATAGTCAGCTCTAATTTCAATGCTGGGGTTAAGCTTCATGTCTATTCTCTGGACATGATATTCTCAAGCAGTCGTGTCGCAGTGCTCCCTAAACTCCTCCTGTAGCAAAATCCCATACCCGTCTTACATGGCCTCTAGCAAGGAGATTACGAGCAAGCATGACAAATATTGCTATAACTCTTCAACCTTCCTTCCTTCCTTCTAAGATATATATCAAACTCTCGAGCTCGCAGACCACATCCTTGTACACGGCGCTCTGCAGCTCCGGCTGGCTGAGGTCTTTTCCAAACCCAAAGTCGCAGTCTAGACACTGTTGCGTGATCTTCTGGTACCTGGGCCCCAGGCGTGAGTCCCGGCCAACCAGGTCTGCCACTTTTCTCACCTCGACGATATCGTCGGGCTTCAGGGCGTCCCACTGCCCAATCTGAAGCAAGGCTACACCTAGGCTGTGCATAGTTAGATTTCGAATTCCGCACGCGAGCTGTGCATCCGCCACCTCACTGGAGTTGTCCGCCATGATCGTGTCACACTGTTGCTGCTGCTGCTGCTGCTGCTTCCGTGAGAGCTCGGTGCTGATGTGCAGCGTGTTTAGAGAGGCGGCTAGGCCGTCGTCGGTCTGGAAGTAGGAGAGATCCTGAAGGCGCCAGTATGGCTGTAGCCAAGGGGTAGAATGGAACTGGAGGACGCCTTTGACCAACTTTAAAGCGAGACGGACTTGCTCGGGTACAGAGATGGAATGCTCAACTGGAAAGCCGAAGATCTTATCTAATGACACAGGCTCCCTCAGTGCCTTTGCTTTCAGGCATTCTCTGTGATCACATTGCGGGCTGCACACCGGGGAGAGGTGGTGTCTGAGGTCGTCTGGCGTGTCGAGATAGCCGCCGCACGTCATCGTGCCAGCCTGACAACAGAGCTGAGAGCATATGTCCCCCGAAGAGCACAGGTTTAATGGAAGTGCTTGCGAGACCGATGTCGTTGTAGTTTGTACGTCTTCTACCAAGGTAGCGGTAGTGCTCGAGCTGGCACAGTCGTCTGAGAACCTCACCCTTCTGGCCTTATTCGGACGGCCCCGGTCGGTGGAGTTCCACGAGGTTGAGCCTTCGGTAGTAGGCATTGTGATGCGAACAAAATGCAAACTCTGAGACCGCACAAGCAAATCTGCTAGGCCACTGCTCGTAAGTTTTAGCATCGTGTTTCTGTTGCTCGAGAAGCTTCACGGGAATTATACTTACTCTTGAACATGAAACCCCGAGCTAGTGTAATAGCGTACGATGACTCTGAGCGTGCCATCATTTCTCGAGTCTAGCAATAGGCGCACATCGTGACCTATGTGTTGGACCTGGAAACAAGACCAAAATTTCCTCAATGCATCGTAGAAAGATTTAGAGTGCTGCGTGATCTGTCGATAAAACGGCGGCAAGGGTCTGGGCCTTTTGGTACAAGTTTTCGCTTGACACCGTTGGATCTTGCCGGCTGTTTTCCTTAGCCGCTTGATTTCTTGGTTAGAATCTTTCATTCCATTTATCAAGGATTCGTATTTCGACTTGTTGGTCATGATATTAACCGCCTCGCGCATCTTTTCTGATGCCTTTGACTTCATGGGGGATATCTGTCAGTTTCAGATCTGTGATGGTTGATAATCGCACGTGGGATGACTGGACCTTAGCTTGTTCATTACCATTGCTTGCCTTTGAGTCGAGTTCTTCATTCAGCAGTGTGACGTAGTCCTTGACTTCGGCAACCGCTTCGCTGAATGATTCGTATTTCCTTCCCAAATAACCTCT